GGCATTTCGGTGGGGCCAGATTTTTCACTCAGGAAAAAGTAAGGACGTGTCTTTATGCCAGTTTCTGTGATGATATCTAATCCAGAGAGAAGGCTGCGTAGGTGAAACTGTTGGTTCACCTGTTCTGTTCATTATTCAGTTTTATTACTTTTACTTCCTACATTAAGTAACTCCATTCAGCAAGAAAATGTCAAGAAGTAAGTCTTGCAGCCTTCTAATGGTGTTCCCATCAACCCCAAAGTTTTTTTTCGTTTGTTTGTTTGTTTGGGTTTTTTTAAAGAAAGGTCTCCCTTTTACTTCTTCCAAAAAAAAAAAAAAAAAGTAAGGAGAGAGAACATTTAAGTTGGCATTAAGTATATTATTTAAGAATTTATTTCGAAATATGACAGTAAATCAAACAGCTCATCTGCAACTGTGCAAGTTGTAGTGAGGAATTTACTGTGTGTGTTCCTTTAAAAATATTTTAAAATTCAGCCCTGAAAATGTATGGAATACGTCTGTTACTGGTTAATCAGTTCATCTTGGCTCTCAGGTTTATTAGTGTTTTGGAAAGTACAATGTATTTTCAGCTTTTGCCCCTCTCAAAGAAATTTTTAATGAACAGTTACGCTGTGAATGAATGTTCTGCACTGAAAAATGGAGTTGTGTATCACAAATTTGACATAATACATATCTGTAGCAGCTTTTATTGTATTGCTGTGTTGTTCTCCTCAAGATCCCACACTGCCCTGGTACAGAGAATAGTCCTGCTGTGAGGGGACCCAGGAAATACAGCAGTGCCTATGTATTATTTACAGCTACCTATTTACAAGATTAGCATAATTTCCATTCTTTACAGCCATCATGGTTTCATCATCTCCACAAGAAGCCTTGTGTTTCTCAGAATAAATAACCCTGTATTCTGTGGCAACCTCTCGAGCCAATCTGCCACATAAAAATGGGTTGTGAGCACCCTGCCAGAACAACTGGGAAATGCTGGTGTTTATCATGTCCCCAAAAGATTGTTGACAAAAATTCTAAATAGACATCCCAAGCAGCAAATCACCATTTCCCATTGATCTACAGGAGATAAATGCACATTAGTTACCAAAATTCAAGGTAAATATATACAAACATTAGATTCATTAAAAAGAAAGGAACGGGGG